TGTACAGTGGTCTTCTGCAGCGACACGTCTGTACAGTGGTCTTCTGCAGAGACACGTCTGTACAATAGTCTTCTGCAGCGACACGTCTGTTCAATGGTCTTCTGCAGCGACACGTCTGTACAATGGTCCTCTGCAGAGACACGTCTGTACAGTGGTCTTCTGCAGAGACACGTCTGTACAGTGGTCTTCTGCAGAGACACGTCTGTACAGTGGTCTTCTGCAGAGACACGTCTGTACAATGGTCTTCTGCAGCGACACGTCTGTTCAATGGTCTTCTGCAGCGACACGTCTGTACAGTGGTCTTCTGCAGCGACACGTCTGTACAGTGGTCTTCTGCAGAGACACGTCTGTACAATGGTCTTCTGCAGAGACACGTCTGTACAATGGTCTTCTGCAGAGACACGTCTGTACAATGGTCTTCTGCAGAGACACGTCTGTACAATGGTCTTCTGCAGCGACACGTCTGTACAATGGTCCTCTGCAGAGACACGTCTGTACAGTGGTCTTCTGCAGAGACACGTCTGTACAGTGGTCTTCTGCAGAGACACGTCTGTACAGTGGTCTTCTGCAGAGACACGTCTGTACAATGGTCTTCTGCAGCGACACGTCTGTTCAATGGTCTTCTGCAGCGACACGTCTGTACAGTGGTCTTCTGCAGCGACACGTCTGTACAGTGGTCTTCTGCAGAGACACGTCTGTACAATGGTCTTCTGCAGAGACACGTCTGTACAATGGTCTTCTGCAGAGACACGTCTGTACAATGGTCTTCTGCAGAGACACGTCTGTACAATGGTCTTCTGCAGAGACACGTCTGTACAATGGTCTTCTGCAGCGACACGTCTGTACAATGGTCTTCTGCAGAGACACGTCTGTACAATGGTCTTCTGCAGAGACACGTCTGTACAATGGTCTTCTGCAGAGACACGTCTGTACAATGGTCTTCTGCAGAGACACGTCTGTACAATGGTCTTCTGCAGAGACACGTCTGTACAATGGTCTTCTGCAGCGACACGTCTGTACAATGGTCTTCTGCAGAGACACGTCTGTACAATGGTCTTCTGCAGAGACACGTCTGTTCAATGGTCTTCTGCAGCGACACGTCTGTACAGTGGTCTTCTGCAGCGACACGTCTGTACAATAGTCTTCTGCAGCGACACGTCTGTTCAATGGTCTTCTGCAGAGACACGTCTGTACAATGGTCTTCTGCAGAGACACGTCTGTTCAATGGTCTTCTGCAGAGACACGTCTGTACAATGGTCTTCTGCAGCGACACGTCTGTACAATAGTCTTCTGCAGAGACACGTCTGTACAATGGTCTTCTGCAGAGACACGTCTGTACAATGGTCTTCTGCAGAGACACGTCTGTTCAATGGTCTTCTGCAGCGACACGTCTGTACAATAGTCTTCTGCAGAGACACGTCTGTACAATGGTCTTCTGCAGAGACACGTCTGTACAATGGTCTTCTGCAGCGACACGTCTGTACAATAGTCTTCTGCAGAGACACGTCTGTACAATGGTCTTCTGCAGCGACACGTCTGTACAATAGTCTTCTGCAGCGACACGTCTGTACAATGGTCTTCTGCAGAGACACGTCTGTACAATGGTCTTCTGCAGCGACACGTCTGTACAATGGTCTTCTGCAGAGACACGTCTGTACAATGGTCTTCTGCAGAGACACGTCTGTACAATGGTCTTCTGCAGAGACACGTCTGTACAATGGTCTTCTGCAGAGACACGTCTGTACAATGGTCTTCTGCAGAGACACGTCTGTACAATGGTCTTCTGCAGCGACACGTCTGTACAATGGTCTTCTGCAGAGACACGTCTGTACAATGGTCTTCTGCAGCGACACGTCTGTACAATGGTCTTCTGCAGAGACACGTCTGTACAATGGTCTTCTGCAGCGACACGTCTGTACAATAGTCTTCTGCAGAGACACGTCTGTACAATGGTCTTCTGCAGAGACACGTCTGTACAATGGTCTTCTGCAGAGACACGTCTGTACAATGGTCTTCTGCAGCGACACGTCTGTACAATAGTCTTCTGCAGAGACACGTCTGTACAATGGTCTTCTGCAGCGACACGTCTGTACAATAGTCTTCTGCAGCGACACGTCTGTACAATGGTCTTCTGCAGAGACACGTCTGTACAATGGTCTTCTGCAGCGACACGTCTGTACAATGGTCTTCTGCAGAGACACGTCTGTACAATGGTCTTCTGCAGAGACACGTCTGTACAATGGTCTTCTGCAGAGACACGTCTGTACAATGGTCTTCTGCAGAGACACGTCTGTACAATGGTCTTCTGCAGAGACACGTCTGTACAATGGTCTTCTGCAGCGACACGTCTGTACAATGGTCTTCTGCAGAGACACGTCTGTACAATGGTCTTCTGCAGCGACACGTCTGTACAATGGTCTTCTGCAGAGACACGTCTGTACAATGGTCTTCTGCAGCGACACGTCTGTACAATAGTCTTCTGCAGAGACACGTCTGTACAATGGTCTTCTGCAGAGACACGTCTGTACAATGGTCTTCTGCAGAGACACGTCTGTACAATGGTCTTCTGCAGCGACACGTCTGTACAATGGTCTTCTGCAGAGACACGTCTGTACAATGGTCCTCTGCAGCGACACGTCTGTACAGTGGTCTTCTGCAGAGACACGTCTGTACAATGGTCTTCTGCAGAGACACGTCTGTACAATGGTCTTCTGCAGCGACACGTCTGTACAATAGTCTTCTGCAGAGACACGTCTGTACAATGGTCTTCTGCAGAGACACGTCTGTACAATGGTCTTCTGCAGCGACACGTCTGTACAATGGTCTTCTGCAGCGACACGTCTGTACAATAGTCTTCTGCAGAGACACGTCTGTACAATGGTCTTCTGCAGCGACCCACAGCCACAAAATATGAAATATGAGTGTTTTTTTTATCTTGACCTGACACTTTGTGATTGTGTTAAAACCAGATTCTCCAACGGGACAAAGACGTTTAGTCTTATTTCAAGAACTGTTGCTTTATTTCCTCATTCCAAAGGAGACATTTGTTTTTAAAACAAGACAATGTTTGCTCTGTCCCATTGGAGAATCTAGTTGAAGACTCAGAATGTGCAAAACACATTTGAGCAATGTTTAATTATTTTTCATCACTTGCACTTTGTATAGATTACTTACTTACTTTTTTCAGAAATGCGGTACTACGGAAGCCTAAGCAGGACAATATGTGGTTTTTGACAGTGGTCCCCAACTCCTGCTCCTAACTCCTTTTTGTCCCTTATCGACCACTGTATTCCAAGATGGAGCATTGACACAGAGAGTCCTCAGCCTCAGACAGTTATGAGTCCATTTCTAAGCCTATGAAAACAGTTCAAAAACACGGTGGAGGTAAATATTCTTAAAAAGGTCACATTTGTTATTGGTTAAAACGTTTATTTTTTTTCATTTGAAGCAACTGTAAAAATTGTGCCTTTAAGAAAATAAGTAACAGAATATCACAGAAAGCTCCTTTAGTTCTGCTTTTTTATTTTGAAACGACGACACAGTTGCTTCGTAAACATGACCTTCTTTAAAATTAGCTTTAGCATTAGCATTAGCATTAGCATTCCTGCGATGCATAAATGTGTGTAATCACAGATGTGTAGATCAACATGCATCGCACTCACTCATGTCCCGAAAAGAACAGACCCATTTGGGCAGAGTCTGCGGGGGCTCGGGCTCGGGCTCGGGCTCGGTCTCGGGCTCGGGCTCGGGCTCAGGCTGCAGCAGAGGCGTCCCGAGGCGCTTGTTTCACACACAAAAGGAAATCCTTCTGCAGTGCACTCCACATAACCCCGCTGTCCCCAGCCATGAAATTACAGCTTTAGCAAAGTAGCAGCACAAAATGTTCACAGGGCAAAGGAGGAAAGATGGAAATGTGTTTTGGATTTGGCCAGGGATCCGTCTCTGTCTCTGTTTCTGGAGAGAACCTTAACCCTTTGTCAGCTCCACAAATACAAATATGTTTTTGTTAAGACTTAAATCACAACAGGGGTTATCTCGGAGGAGTTTACGAAGCTGTGGATTCACCAACAACAGATTAGAGAATCAAACCGTTCAAATACACCATGACTGAAGCTGTATGACTGAAGCTGAGGCTGTAGACCCAGGACTGAGGCTGTAGACCCAGGACTGAGGCTGTAGACCCAGGACTGAGGCTGTAGACCCAGGACTGAGGCTCTAGACCCAGGATTGAGGCTGTAGACCCAGGACTGAGGCTGTAGACCCAGGACTGAGGCTGTAGACCCAGGACTGAGGCTGTAGACCCAGGACTGAGGCTGTAGACCCAGGACTGAGGCTGTAGACCCAGGACTGAGGCTGTAGACCCAGGACTGAGGCTGTAGACCCAGGGCCGAGGCTGTAGACCCAGGACTGAGGCTGTAGATCCAGGACTGAGGTTGTAGACCCACTTCATCAGCATTGGAGAGAGGAGCGAGCGATACCTTAATGTTGACCTACATAGAGGCTCGTTCCGGTCCTTTGATCAGAGATTCAGGAGAACGTCACGAGCAGAGGAAACACGGTTTGGAGTAACTTTTGGATTCGTGTCCTCGGCCTCTTCTGATGCTTCAAGTCGGACCTCTCTCTTTAACAACACTATGGGCATTTAACTGACACCAAAGAAGGGCCTGGGGACCCAACAAACTACAGTCACAGCTAAATTAATGCAAATGAACTCGAAAGAAAATAAAAAGATAGAGAATTTATAGATGAGTGTAAGAGAAATGCAGCAAAACACATCCATAAATACACAATAAATACAATAAATACAGATTTCTGCTTTCTCTGGTGGATGGAAAAAATAATCAGAATTACAAACGTTAAAAAGTGCAGTATCCGCAGTATTCTCAGTATTCTCAGTATTCTCAGTTTTCTCAGTAAGAACTTTTTGATAAAAAGCCGTGGAAATGCTTTGTGTCCGTCCAGTCTCTCTTTAATCCACTCCATACATGCATTAGCAGCGGTCACAGTGAGGAGCGCTGTGTAAGCCTGCTGCGCTTTGTGGTGGGCAGGAGGGTGAGGGAGGGGGCTGGAGGGTGAGGGAGGGGGCTGGAGGGTGAGGGAGGGGGCTGGAGGGTGAGGGAGGGGGCAGGAGGGTGAGGGAGGGGGCTGGAGGGTGAGGGAGGGGGCAGGAGGGTGAGGGAGGGGGCTGGAGGGTGAGGGAGGGGGCTGGAGGGTGAGGGAGGGGGCAGGAGGGTGAGGGAGGGGGCTGGAGGGTGAGGGAGGGGGCTGGAGGGTGAGGGAGGGGCAGGAGGTGAGGAGGGGCAGGAGGGTGAGGGAGGGGGCTGGAGGGTGAGGGAGGGGGCTGGAGGGTGAGGGAGGGGGCTGGAGGGTGAGGGAGGGGGCTGGAGGGTGAGGGAGGGGGCTGGAGGGTGAGGGAGGGGGCTGGAGGGTGAGGGAGGGGGCAGGAGGGTGAGGGAGGGGGCTGGAGGGTGAGGGAGGGGGCTGGAGGGTGAGGGAGGGGGCTGGAGGGTGAGGGAGGGGGGGGCTGGAGGGTGAGGGAGGGGGCAGGAGGGTGAGGGAGGGGGCAGGAGGGTGAGGGAGGGGGCTGGAGGGTGAGGGAGGGGGCAGGAGGGTGAGGGAGGGGGCTGGAGGGTGAGGGAGGGGGCAGGAGGGTGAGGGAGGGGGCTGGAGGGTGAGGGAGGGGGCTGGAGGGTGAGGGAGGGGGCTGGAGGGAGGGGGCAGGAGGGTGAGGGAGGGGGCTGGAGGGTGAGGGAGGGGGCAGGAGGGTGAGGGAGGGGGCAGGAGGGTGAGGGAGGGGGCAGGAGGGTGAGGGAGGGGGCTGGAGGGAGGGGGGCAGGAGGGTGAGGGAGGGGGCTGGAGGGAGGGGGCAGGAGGGTGAGGGAGGGGGCAGGAGGGTGAGGGAGGGGGCTGGAGGGTGAGGGAGGGGGCAGGAGGGTGAGGGAGGGGGCAGGAGGGTGAGGGAGGGGGCTGGAGGGTGAGGGAGGGGGCTGGAGGGTGAGGGAGGGGGCTGGAGGGTGAGGGAGGGGGCTGGAGGGTGAGGGAGGGGGCTGGAGGGTGAGGGAGGGGGCTGGAGGGTGAGGGAGGGGGCAGGAGGGTGAGGGAGGGGGCTGGAGGGTGAGGGAGGGGGCAGGAGGGTGAGGGAGGGGGCTGGAGGGTGAGGGAGGGGGCTGGAGGGTGAGGGAGGGGGCAGGAGGGTGAGGGAGGGGGCAGGAGGGTGAGGGAGGGGGCTGGAGGGTGAGGGAGGGGGCAGGAGGGTGAGGGAGGGGGCTGGAGGGTGAGGGAGGGGGCAGGAGGGTGAGGGAGGGGGCTGGAGGGTGAGGGAGGGGGCTGGAGGGTGAGGGAGGGGGCTGGAGGGAGGGGGCAGGAGGGTGAGGGAGGGGGCTGGAGGGTGAGGGAGGGGGCAGGAGGGTGAGGGAGGGGGCAGGAGGGTGAGGGAGGGGGCTGGAGGGTGAGGGAGGGGGCAGGAGGGTGAGGGAGGGGGCAGGAGGGTGAGGGAGGGGGCTGGAGGGAGGGGGCAGGAGGGTGAGGGAGGGGGCTGGAGGGAGGGGGCAGGAGGGTGAGGGAGGGGGCAGGAGGGTGAGGGAGGGGGCTGGAGGGTGAGGGAGGGGGCTGGAGGGTGAGGGAGGGGGCTGGAGGGTGAGGGAGGGGGCTGGAGGGTGAGGGAGGGGGCTGGAGGGTGAGGGTGAGGGAGGGGGCTGGAGGGTGAGGGAGGGGGCAGGAGGGTGAGGGAGGGGGCTGGAGGGTGAGGGAGGGGGCTGGAGGGTGAGGGAGGGGGCAGGAGGGTGAGGGAGGGGGCAGGAGGGTGAGGGAGGGGGCTGGAGGGTGAGGGAGGGGGCTGGAGGGTGAGGGAGGGGGCTGGAGGGTGAGGGAGGGGGCTGGAGGGTGAGGGAGGGGGCAGGAGGGTGAGGGAGGGGGCAGGAGGGTGAGGGAGGGGGCTGGAGGGTGAGGGAGGGGGCAGGAGGGTGAGGGAGGGGGCAGGAGGGTGAGGGAGGGGGCTGGAGGGTGAGGGAGGGGGCAGGAGGGTGAGGGAGGGGGCAGGGAGGGTGAGGGAGGGGGCAGGGAGGGTGAGGGAGGGGGCTGGAGGGTGAGGGAGGGGGCAGGAGGGTGAGGGAGGGGGCAGGAGGGTGAGGGAGGGGGCTGGAGGGTGAGGGAGGGGGCAGGAGGGTGAGGGAGGGGGCAGGAGGGTGAGGGAGGGGGCAGGGAGGGTGAGGGAGGGGGCTGGAGGGTGAGGGAGGGGGCAGGAGGGTGAGGGAGGGGGCTGGAGGGTGAGGGAGGGGGCTGGAGGGTGAGGGAGGGGGCTGGAGGGAGGGGGGGCAGGAGGGTGAGGGAGGGGACTGGAGGGTGAGGGAGGGGGCTGGAGGGTGAGGGAGGGGGCTGGAGGGTGAGGGAGGGGGCAGGAGGGTGAGGGAGGGGGCTGGAGGGTGAGGGAGGGGGCAGGAGGGTGAGGGAGGGGACTGGAGGGTGAGGGAGGGGGCAGGAGGGTGAGGGAGGGGGCTGGAGGGTGAGGGAGGGTGAGGGTTAGGGTAAACAGTTTGTGTTATATACAGATTATATTATTGATTTGTGCTCATATGTATCAATGTTTTTTAACGAGAAATGGCGGAAAAAGAGAAAAAAAATACTTTTAGTGTCCATGAAGCTAGCGCCCAGATGCGTTCGAAGGCTCACGGAGATGAGGCGAGCACAGACAGGTTAACTCTGGATTAGATTCACTCCTTTACTTGTTTAACTAATACATAAACACAGGATCCACATAACAGGATCCACATAACAGGATCCACAGAACAGGATCCACATAACAGGATCCACATAACAGGATCCACAGAACAGGATCCACAGAACAGGATCCACAGAACAGGATCCACATAACAGGATCCACAGAACAGGATCCACATAACAGGATCCACATAACAGGATCCACAGAACAGGATCCACATAACAGGATCCACATAACAGGATCCACAGAACAGGATCCACATAACAGGATCCACATAACAGGATCCACAGAACAGGATCCACAGAACAGGATCCACAGAACAGGATCCACAGAACAGGATCCACAGAACAGGATCCACAGAACAGGATCCACAGAACAGGATCCACATAACAGGTGTATGATATGTTCGTGGCCATTTCTCGTAATAAACCTTGATACATATGAGCAGAAATCAAGAATATAATCTGTAAATAACAACACAAACTGTTTACATGTTTATTTACACTTTTTGACGTGCGCAAACTGAACTTCCGGACGAATCCGGCAGACACAAGCACAACACGACAGAACACCAGGCACAGTCCACACACAACATCTGGCTCTTGGGACGTGGAACGTCATCTCACTGGGGGAGGAGCCTGAGCTCATGGGGGAGGAGCCTGAGCTCATGGGGGAGGAGCCTGAGCACAGCTCGGGCTCAGAACCCAACTCCTTGAGAGTGGTTGGACGCTCCACTTTTCTGGTGTTTCTTGCGGCAGCTCCACGTGTTCTCCCCGGTGAATGAGAGGGTCGCGTCCCTCCGCCTCCGGGTGGGGGACAAGTCTCTCACTGTTGTTGTGCCCACGGGCCAAACTTGGGAGAACGGCCCTGGTCTGAACCCGAGCGATGTTCAGTTGTTGGACTTCTGTGCTCGTCACTGTTAATATTCTTAAATATTCTTAGAAAGGTCACTTTTGTTATTGTTATTTTTGGATGTTTTTGGAGCAACTGTAAAACCTGCTGACTGTGCCTTTAACTATTTATGCCCCAAAATTATTCATTCATTCATCATCGTCCCCTTTATTAATCCATTTCTGGGTCAGAGCTGCTCCCAATGCTCACTGCTCCTCCTGCTCCTCCTGGTCCTCCTGCTCCTCACTGATCCTCCTGCTCCTCACTGATCCTCCTGCTCCTCCTGCTCCTCACTGCTCCTCCTGCTCCTCACTGATCCTCCTGCTCCTCACTGCTCCTCCTGCTCCTCCTGCTCCTCACTGATCCTCCTGCTCCTCACTGATCCTCCTGCTCCTCACTGATCCTCCTGCTCCTCATACTCCTCCTACTCCTCCTGCTCCTCCTGCTCCTCACTGATCCTCCTGCTCCTCCTGCTCCTCCTGCTCCTCCTGCTCCTCCTGCTCCTCACTGCTCCTCCTGCTCCTCCTGGTCCTCCTGCTCCTCACTGAACCTCCTGCTCCTCACTGCTCCTCCTGCTCCTCCTGCTCCTCCTGCTCCTCACTGCTCCTCCTGCTCCTCACTGATCCTCCTGCTCCTCACTGCTCCTCCTGCTCCTCCTGCTCCTCACTGATCCTCCTGCTCCTCACTGATCCTCCTGCTCCTCATACTCCTCCTACTCCTCCTGCTCCTCCTGCTCCTCACTGATCCTCCTGCTCTGTCACAGCCTTGATCTTTCTCTGAGGGTCTGTCCCGCTGAGGCCCGAGTGCAAACAGGAAGTGACAAATCCTTCTTTTCAGACCCGCTCCTGATGAAGAGGTCCTGACAAAGACCGTGTGTGGTTTTACTGTGACAGAGCGGGTTAGTCAGGCCTCTGTGGACGGCTTCGAAGACCCGCACAGACGCTCACTGCTCGGTACGAAGACCTGCACAGACGCTCACTGCTCAGTACGAACATGAAGACCCGCACAGACGCTCACTGCTCGGTACGAAGACCCGCACAGACGCTCACTGCTCGGTACGAAGACCCGCACAGACGCTCACTGCTCGGTACGAAAACCTGCACAGACGCTCACTGCTCGGTACGAAGACCCACACAGACGCTCACTGCTCGGTACGAAGACCCGCACAGACGCTCACTACTCGGTACAAAGACCCGCAGATACGCTCGCTGTTCGGTACGAAGACCCGCACAGACGCTCACTGCTCGGTACAAAGACCCGCACAGACGCTCACTGCTCGGTACAAAGACCCGCACAGACGTTCACTGCTCGGTACGAAGACCCGCACAGACGCTCACTGCTCGGTACGAAGACCCGCACAGACGCTCACTGCTCGGTACAAAGACCCGCAGATACGCTCGCTGTTCGGTACGAAGACCCGCACAGACGCTCACTGCTCGGTACGAAGACCAACCGTCCACAAAGTCAGATGGTACTGTGGAAAGCTCTCACCTTTCCAGGAGTCGCAGTAGAGACTCTGTACGTAGAGATTCTGTGGGTCTGGCTTCATCCACATCGACAGTATTGACAGAGACCTGGCATCGGGGCCTTCAGACTGGTTCAGACCGGATCAGACTGGATCACACTGGATCCATAGTAACGACCTGGGGGGATGTGGATAAAGGCTGGAAATGATCAACTTTAGAATAGAATGGAACTTTATTGTCTGTTAAATTGAGCAGAAATGTGTTTTGAACGCGGCACATTTAAAGGTCATTCATTAAAACACACTTAAAACATTTAGCAAAGACACAACAGTTCATAATGTGTGCGGTTTAATTTTGTTTTACTGCAGACAAAGCATCTGGCAGCAGCAGGAGCACACAGCGGGTGTGTTAAAGGGCCCTAATCTGTCATCATTAAAGGGCCCTAATCTGTCATCATTAAAGGGCCCTAATCTGTCATCATTAAAGGGCCCTAATCTGTCATCATTAAAGGGCCCTAATCTGTCATCATCAAAGGGCCCTAATCTGTCATAATAATAAACTGCTCTTTTACAATACTTCTTTAAAATCTTGTTATTGTTTTCATTTCGATGTCCCGCCCTCCACGTTTCACCAATCAGAAAGTCCGTGATCCGGGCACCAGAACTCACCGCGTGGAGCTAATCTCACTGGTAAAGTACCATGTGGCGCAGAACTAAAAAAGGTCTCGTTATGATTCTCAAATCATTAACGACAAAACAAGGAATAAAACCAGGATTTCTATCTTTGTGAAAAAGATGTTGGTTATAGATTTGTTGTTGACAAAACTCTTGTCTATTCAGCTGTTATGGTCCCAGCTGGATTCGTCTGCATATCTGGCAACCTGAGTCAGGGAGAGTGGGAGAGGCTGCAGTACCACTTTTGGCCACATGTTTACAAACTGCTCCTTTAAGTCCTCTCAAACCGAACTCTCTGTACTTTCAACTCCCTACTTTTTATAAATGACTAGTTTCTCTGAACACATCATGAAAACAAGAAGGAAGTTGATCCAAACTTAGTGAATATATTTAAGTAAGTAATCTTTATTTTAAATGCGTTTACAGACCAGTTGAGTTTTATTTACTTTCTTCTACTCACTATGAAACATGTGTGTAGGAGAAAGCAACGCTAAAAATATCTCACATAAATCTATTGTCAATTATTCAACTTTTTTACCAAAGTACAAACAAAAGCTTGTACTTTTACACGTTTACTTGAGTAAGAAAACGATTGTTAAACTATAATCTTTACTTTTACGGCAGGATCTAAGTGTGTTTGTCTTCTCTGTAATATTCTTCATTCTTTACATCTGTTTCACACTAATCTGCAAAGAACGACATGATTTGAAGTTTTCAGCCTAAAACCCTTGATTCTGGGTTTTTCAGGTTCATGTGGAGGGCTCTCGCAGCTTAAACCGTAAGAATAGATTTTTCCCTGGAGTTGAGCCTTCACTTTAGTGCCCATGGTTAAGACAATTCCACCACCGAAGGTTTTATGCGTCCTGACGAGAGGCGAATCAATAACGTCTATTTCAACAATATTTTATTTCTTGTGCAGTGATTTTATTGTTTTTTCTGGATGGAAGGTCACACGGACACGACCTCCAAAGCTGCTTTTTGTTTTAAACTTGTAGTATCGGACTGAATGGTGCTCAGTGGGGGCGGGTCCTGGCTAAAAAGGATTCGTGAGCACGTGCACTGACATGCTCTGATTGTGGGGGTGTACCCGGAAACAGAATTACACATTATTAGGATTTTGACTGTAGTTTGTTCATTGCTATTCACCCGTTGTCCCATTGTCTGTTCCATGGTACGACGATGGGACCTCTGAGCCCGGCCTCCTCCATCTACACCTGCGGACTGCCCCGCCCGACCCGCCTGGGAGTGCTTCAGTCCTGCACTGGACCTGTCCACGTCCTGTAGCTTAGGTCCTGGATCTATAGTCCGTCCGTCCGTGGGAGCGGATCCCTTTCTCAAACCATGGGTCTTCCCGAGGTTTCTCACCTTTTTCCCACTGGGTTTTTCTTATGAGTTTTTCCTCTGATGCAGGAGGGTCTGTTGGACAGTTAGTGTCCAACTAGAAGGATGTGATGATCCAGGACACTTTAACATTCTACATGTATGACATTTATCAACATGTGTTCTATATACTTTCTGTGATTAACTGATTCTCTGATCTGTGTTTGATTTCAATGATTTTGTTAAGTCCCTGAGATGAAAATGTTATGATTTAGGGCTATACAGGAATAAATTGTATTGTAATTTATTATGGCGCCTTTTTTCCTCTTGAGAACGGCTCCACAGGATGGTCCTAAAGTGGCTCTTGGTCCAAAAGTGGTTCTTGGTCCAAAAGTGGTTCTTGGTCCAAAAGTGGTTCTTGGTCCAAAAGTGGTTCTTGGTCCAAAAGTGGTTCTTGGTCCTAAAGCGGCTCTTGGTCCAAAAGTGGCTCTTGGTCCAAAAGTGGTTCTTGGTCCAAAAGTGGCTCTTGGTCCAAAAGTGGCTCTTGGTCCTAAAGTGGTTCTTGGTCCAAAAGTGGCTCTTGGTCCAAAAGTGGCTCATGGTCCAAAAGTGGCCCTTGGTCCAAAAGTGGCTCTTGGTCCAAAAGTGGTTCTTGGTCCAAAAGTGGTTCTTGGTCCAAAAGTGGCTCATGGTCCAAAAGTGGCTCATGGTCCAAAAGTGGCTCTTGGTCCAAAAGTGGCTCCGGTCCAAAAGTGGCTCTTGGTCTAAAAGTGGCTCTTGGTCCAAAAGTGGCTCTTGGTCCAAAAGTGGCTCTTGGTCCAAAAGTGGCTCTTGGTCCAAAAGTGGCTCTTGGTCCAAAAGTGGCTCTTGGTCCAAAAGTGGTTCTTGGTCCAAAAGTGGTTCTTGGTCCAAAAGTGGTTCTTGGTCCTCTTTGTTCCAGATGTTGAGATGAGTATACGTTTTTGGACAAGTCTAGTTTAGCCGCTGTGTACTTTTAAATGCACTGATTAAATGAATGGGGCTAATGCAGCTAACACATGATACAGCCTCCACTCCAAAAGTTATTTTTGGGAGGGGCCAGCTGCCATTTCCAAAGTCTCTGGGGATCACACGTGCATCTCACCAGGGAAATAGGCGTCACTACGTCTGCTAATATTGTGATCTTCAGTCCAAAGGCGAATCCCTCTGTGCGTCTCTACATCCACAACCTCCATCATGGACATGTGCTTTGGGTAAAGACCTAAAGAACCAGATTGTAGAGACATGCATTCTAAATGATCGGGCGCTGGGATCACACGTTTAGTAATGAAAGGAGCTTGGAGTAGAGCCGCTTCTGTTCTTGAGCACTCGGACGCCTCCCTCGGGTCCTGGAGAGATTATGTCGGCTCAAGATTCCCCTGAATGAGCTGCAGAAGTGTGGGAGGGAAGTCCTGGCTCAAGGCTTTAAGGTGGATGTAACACACACTCTGCTTCTGTTTCTCGACTGAAACAACAAAGATGAATGACAAGAGTAAAGTCAGAGCAGAGAAGAAGAAGGAGATCACAGAGAACCCACTCAGCACCCATCTATGTCCGCAATCGAATCAACATGTTCTGTCACATTGCATCAGCTTGTCCAAGGAAGTTGAATTAGACACAGAACAACAAGACGGCATCAGTAAAAACTACGAACATCTCTTCTCTTAAATATTTACATAATGGTGTCTAAAACATTAGGATTATTTCAGGCAAAGATATGGAGAGCAGAGATATTACCAGTGTTCTATTGTTTTTCATATTTCAGGACCATGGACAGTTCCTCTCATTTAAACATGTTGTGTTGATGACAGAGTTAATTTCTGAAGTATATTTTCGGTGGACTCGTTTCGGATGCAGATCAAGAGTATGAGATTAAAGCAGCAATGACTTTTACTCAGTTTATTACAAATACAAAATAAAGTCACATTCATAATTAGGGACGTTGCATATGTGTGAATGGAACACACTTGAAGCAGCGTTTAGCTTATATTTGGAGCCCAAGATTCAAAACTACAGCTGGATCAGTCTGTTTTAGCGTCTCAAGTGTTAACGATACGACCTCCGGATTATTACTGCTTTTCAAGAGGAGACATTCAGCCACAGAAAAGGTTTCATGGTTTCACTAGTATCATAGTACCATGGTGTAATGGTTTTATGGTATCATTACTGTCATGGTACTATGGTGTAATGGTTTTATGGTATTATTAGTAGAAGAAGAAGAGAAGCCATCATGGTATTATGGCTTGAGTCTCAGCTGAAGATGTCCAGGATCTTTGTGAGACGCAGAGCTGTAGCTGTAGCAGATGGAAAGATGGAAACTTTGACGTGGAACCTCTGAGCAACTTTCAGTGAGTCTGGATTTAATCACCACAGGGTCAAAAGAATATAAATAAAAGAATCATTAAAAAACAACTACTTAAATTTCAGTTAATCATTTAGAACAGATTCAATTATATGGTGGTTTTCCTGACATAATATTCTTTAACATGAAGTATAACATGCCATTGTAGCACCTCACCAATACTACAAGTCATTTCAGCGGCCACTAACAATGGTCTCTCCGGCCGGATTTAGCCCCCGGGCCTGAGTTTGTCGTGTCTGTCGTAGATACAGAATCAACAGAGACAAGCCACAGTCTGAGTTTGTACATCTGTGTCTTTGTCTCTCGTTGGAAAAACAAATCTGCTCCATCTCTGACATTGAAGCGTTCTTGCAAAGAGTCGAGGCTGAATTAGCTCGGCGCTCAGCAGCACTTTTCACACAAACGGATTCACTGCGTCTGCGAAAGAGAGCTTTATCTGCTGCTGGCGAACAAACCCGTCGCCTACATTCAGCTGCGATAATCTCCTCAGCCCAGCGCCTGTTTGGCCCAGAGGCTTCCCACACGGCTCCCAGGCACCGCGGCGGACGCTAAACTGCCCCGAGATGCCCCGCTCTGGCCCAGGCCTGTTACCCCCGAGTGTGGATCCCTACAACACGGTTTCTGGGTCACTGCAGTAATGAACTCTCTCTGACCCTGTCTTCCTGCGCTGATGATGCAACACTACCTCCCACTGCATTTCCCACAACAGCAGCTACAGCCGCAGAAGCGTTAGCAAGCGCTGCAGCGGCCAAAAACAGACGCTAACTTCACCGGTAACAGACAAAGAGCGGCTGTAGAGCGTCTGTGTTTACGTCCTGATCCTGTCCTCGGCTTCCTCTTTACTCCTGGGATAAATTGGGGCATTCCTCTGGGACGGACGGGGACAAAGGAGCAGACAGAGAATGAAAGAGGACGTGTCGTTGTACAGTCTGACACTCACGAGATCTACTTATGTCTTTATAAAATCACTGATTGTGCAGGTGACTGTGTTTCCTCCTCTTGTTCTTAAACACTGTCAGAGAGAAACTAAAACAATAAGGACTAACAGACACTACAGACCTGATCTCTCATTATTGCATCTGTGCAATAATGTGAATAATGTGCAATATGTGCAATATGTGCACTACAGAACCACTCTGTGTACAGCTCTGGCTGCCGCCCCCGGACCCAGAAATGGATTAAGGGGAAGAAAAGGGATGGATGGATGGTGTTTTATACATGCTTCTTTATTATGCTAAAGTTAGAGATTTATCCTTGCTGTTGAAAGGGGGCTGGGTGTTTTTATTGTATTATAACTTTTGGATGTGTCTGATAATGATTGCTAATGGATCCATCTACTTTTATTTAACTGTTTTACAACCATCTGCTCAGGGACTACAGCTGTAAACAGTCAGGTATACTGCAGCTGTACGGAGGAGGAAAAGTGAATAATAATGCTATAATGCTATAAATAATCAGCGTCAGTGGATTCCCTGCTGCAGACACGGAAAGCATTGATGTCACATGTAGAAAGTGTTATTGATATAAGCAGCAGCGTCACATGAAAGATGTGTCCCTCGGAAACATAAAGACTCATTAATATGGAGCGTCCCAAACTCAGGTGCAGCAGCTTTAATGCTCTGATCACACCATGTTAGAGTCCTACTAAAGAAACTCTGATCACACCATGTTAGAGTCCTACTAAAGACACTCTGATCACACCATGTTAGAGTCCTACTAAAGACACTCTGATCACACCATGTTAGAGTCCTACTAAAGACACTCTGATCACACCATGTTAGAGTCCTACTAAAGACACTCTGATCACACCATGTTAGAGTCCTACTAAAGACACTCTGATCACACCATGTTAGAGTCCTACTAAAGACACTCTGATCACACCATGTTAGAGTCCTACTAAAGACACTCTGATCACACCATGTTAGAGTCCTACTAAAGACACTCTGATCACACCATGTTAGAGTCCTATTAAAGACACTCTGATCACACCATGTTAGAGTCCTACTAAAGAAACTCTGATCACACCATGTTAGAGTCCTACTAAAGACACTCTGATCACACCATGTTAGAGTCCTATTAAAGACACTCTGATCACACCATGTTAGAGTCCTACTAAAGACACTCTGATCACACCATGTTAGAGTCCTACTAAAGACACTCTGATCACACCATGTTAGAGTCCTACTAAAGACACTCTGATCACACCATGTTAGAGTCCTACTAAAAGACACTCTGATCACACCATGTTAGAGTCCTATTAAAGACACTCTGATCACACCATGTTAGAGTCCTACTAAAGACACTCTGATCACACCATGTTAGAGTCCTACTAAAGACACTCTGATCACACCATGTTAGAGTCCTACTAAAGACACTCTGATCACACCATGTTAGAGTCCTACTAAAGACACTCTGATCACACCATGTTAGAGTCCTACTAAAGACACTCTGATCACACCATGTTAGAGTCCTACTAAAGACACTAAATGTTAGAGTCCTACTAAAGACACTCTGATCACACCATGTTAGAGTCCTACTAAAGACACTCTGATCACACCATGTTAGAGTCCTACTAAAGACACTCTGATCACACCATGTTAGAGTCCTACTAAAGACACTCTGATCACACCATGTTAGAGTCCTACTAAAGACACTCTGATCACACCATGTTAGAGTCCTATTAAAGACACTCTGATCACACACCATGTTAGAGTCCTACTAAAGAAACTCTGATCACACCATGTTAGAGTCCTACTAAAGAAACTCTGATCACACCATGTTAGAGTCCTACTAAAGACACTCTGATCACACCATGTTAGAGTCCTACTAAAGACACTCTGATCACACCATGTTAGAGTCCTACTAAAGACACTCTGATCACACCATGTTAGAGTCCTACTAAAGACACTCTGATCACACCATGTTAGAGTCCTACTAAAGACACTCTGATCACACCATGTTAGAGTCCTACTAAAGACACTCTGATCACACCATGTTAGAGTCCTACTAAAGACACTCTGATCACACCATGTTAGAGTCCTACTAAAGACACTCTGATCACACCATGTTAGAGTCCTACTAAAGACACTCTGATCACACCATGTTAGAGTCCTACTAAAGACACTCTGATCACACCATGTTAGAGTCCTATAAAAGACACTCTGATCACACCATGTTAGAGTCCTACTAAAGACACTCTGATCACACCATGTTAGAGTCCTACTAAAGACACTCTGATCACACCATGTTAGAGTCCTACTAAAGACACTCTGATCACACCATGTTAGAGTCCTACTAAAGACACTCTGATCACACCATGTTAGAGTCCTATTAAAGACACTCTGATCACACCATGTTAGAGTCCTATTAAAGACACTCTGATCACACCATGTTAGAGTCCTACTAAAGACACTCTGATCACACCATGTTAGAGTCCTACTAAAGACACTCTGATCACACCATGTTAGAGTCCTACTAAAGACACTCTGATCACACCATGTTAGAGTCCTACTAAAGACACTCTGATCACACCATGTTAGAGTCCTACTAAAGACACTCTGATCACACCATGTTAGAGTCCTACTAAAGACACTCTGATCACACCATGTTAGAGTCCTACTAAAAGACACTCTGATCACACCATGTTAGAGTCCTACTAAAGACACTCTGATCACACCATGTTAGAGTCCTACTAAAGACACTCTGATCACACCATGTTAGAGTCCTACTAAAGAAACTCTGATCACACCATGTTAGAGTCCTACTAAAGACACTCTGATCACACCATGTTAGAGTCCTACTAAAGACACTCTGATCACACCATGTTAGAGTCCTACTAAAGACACTCTGATCACACCATGTTAGAGTCCTACTAAAGACACTCTGATCACACCATGTTAGAGTCCTACTAAAGACACTCTGATCCTCGGGGTGGAAAACATCAGAATGACTATGTGTGTATTTAACTTAGTGAATATTTGAGGCGAACCTTTGCAGACACACACATCCACACAGACACACTGGATACACACTCACACACAGACACACTGGATACACACTCACACAGAGACACACTGGATACACACTCACACACAGACACACACCGGCTTTGTAAAAACATAATAACTTTGTAATAATACATTTAATAAGAATCAGTCTCATGTGTTTACACTTTTAAGCACTTGCAAACTCTTACACACACATATATACATATACACACACACACACATACAAGCCCTTACGCACACACACACACTCACCCACACATATACATATACACACAGACACATGCACACACACACACATATACAAGCACTTACACACTCTCACACACACACATACACACAGACACACTTACACACTCTCACACACACACACATACACACAGACACACATATACACACAGACACATGCACACACACACGCAAGCATTTACACACACACACATATACAAGCACTTACACACACACAGACACACTGGATACACAGTCACACACAGACACACACACACACATACATACACACACACATACACACAGACACACTGAATACACACTCACACACAGACACACGCATACACACAGACACACACACAGACATATACACACACACACACTGGATACACACTCACACATAGACACGTACACACAGACACACTGGATACACACTCACACACAGACACACACACATAGACACACTGGATATACACACACACACACACAGACAGACAGACATACACACACACACACATACACAGACACACTGGATACACAGTCACACACAGACACACAGACACACAGACACACACACACACACACACAGACAGACAGACAGACATACACATAGTGACCTGGTCTCTGTGGATACGGACCTGTCAGTCTGTCACCTCTGGGGTTTTCCGAACAGCAGCATCTTTCTCCACGACACGAAACAAGACACTCATCACTTTCTCCGCAGCGTCTCGGGACCGAGCTGGAGCCGGATGTCATGTTAGAGAAAACACCACAGAAGAAGAAGAAGAAGAGGAGGAGAGATTTCATGTCATTGCGTCCAATGCTAATTTTAGTTTAGCTACAAATTGATTGTTTATGGAGCAGTGTGTTGTGAAGGACACGAGAAGCTCAAAGGCAGCGGCTAATTAGGACTAAATTGTGTTTCCACAACAACAGGACTGACCCTTCGGAAACCCCTGCTCATTTACACCCTCACACACACACACAGACACACACACAAATACACTCACAGGCACACACACACACACAATCACAGGCACACACACAAATACACAGGTATACACAAACACACACACACACACAAATATACTCACAGGAACACACACACACACAATCACAGGCACACACACAAATACACCCTCACACACACACACAAATACACTCACACATACACAGGTATACACAAACACATGCACACACACAGACACACACACACACAAATACACTCACACATACACAGGTATACACAAACACATGCACACACACACACACACACACACACACACACACACAGACAAACAGCATCAAACACAGTCTTCATGTTAAAGTGGAAACAGAATCTGACCTTATGGATGCAGCTCAGGGTTAAGACCCTCTCACGATCCTCATACTCAGTACTTACTATAGTACTGCTGTACGCAGTATGCAGTAATGCAGTACATGTATCTCTGCTGTGTATATTTATTATCCTGAAGAAATACATTTGGGTTCAGAAGGAGACACTGCAAAGACTTGCACAGTGAGGACCATCAGAGACTCGCACAGTGAGGACCATCAGAGACTCGCAGAGTGAGGACCATCAGAGACTCGCACAGTGAGGACCATCAGAGACTCGCACAGTGAGGACCATCAGAGACTCGCACAGTGAGGACCATCAGAGACTCGCACAGTGAGGACCATCAGAGACTTGCACAGTGAGGACCATCAGAGACTCGCAGAGTGAGGACCATCAGAGACTCGCACAGTGAGGACCATCAGAGACTCGCACAGTGAGGACCATCAGAGACTCGCACAGTGAGGACCATCAGAGACTCGCACAGTGAGGACCATCAGAGACTCGCAGAGTGAGGACCATCAGAGACTCGCAGAGTGAGGACCATCAGAGACTCGCACAGTGAGGACCATCAGAGACTCGCACAGTGAGGACCATCAGAGACTCGCACAGTGAGGACCATCAGAGACTTGCACAGTGAGGACCATCAGAGACTCGCACAGTGAGGACCATCAGAGACTCGCACAGTGAGGACCATCAGAGATACAGACGCCTGTAGCCTCTGAACTGCTCCGTCACCATTGAGCTAAATTTAGCCATCACAAACCGGTCCCACAGCAGAGGCCTCGCCATCTGTGATTCTGTGCATCCCAACTCACGCCAGGACGTCACCACAATCTACACCAAACAAAAGAACCTCTCAGAGATGATTAGACTGATTAGATTAGATGATCCTGACTCAACATAGATTCACAAACATGTTTCTTCTCCCTCTGGACCTTCTGCTCAGAGACGGCTCACTCCACACTGTTGTGCCTGTGCTGTTAACAGCTCCAGACGGTTTGGACCAAGTGTTTCGTACCAAACACACAGTTTGTCTGCAGTTATTGTATCATATTTTTTTTGGATATTAATAATCTATAATTACAGGTTGATTATAGTGATATCCGTAACCATTAACCATTACATAGTCTTCACAAAGCCTCCAACACATGTCCTAAAAGACAAAAACTATTATGTCCCCAAAGTTCAATACCATTTTATTTAAGGCATCATTTTTATTGAAATAGTTTTGAGCTCATCTGAGATTATCTTATGTATATCTACAAACTATATAGCATTAAAGAATCATTAGGCACAAACATTTTTGGTTCATTCATTTATTTTATTGCCGCCTGAAGTAAGATTCTTGAAGTACTTTCTAACGTTGATGAACAAATTTAAGTCAATCATTATTTACTGCATTTAAAACTGTAACTCTGCTGAATATTGGAATATTTGAATTAAAGGTCTTATGTGCAAAGCAGAAAACAAAACAGAATATAAAAAAAGAAATTAAGAAAACATCAGAAAACGCTGAGAAACAAGAAGATTTTAAAATCAGCACAGACTGAGAGAAATAAAGTGTGAAATCGAGGATCCGGCTCGAAGGACCAGTTCCTAAAGTTCAGCATTTGTGGTTTTTATTTGTTACGTATGGTGTGGCATCTGATCGTTTATTTCTGTGATAAATACACATAAATTCAAATGTGTTATTGCATTGAGAAGCCAAGGCCTCTGCTCATGAGCAGACATCAGTGTTTACATTGAGAGGGACACACCGGCGCCTGGAAGAGAAGCTGTGGTTGGTGTCGTAGAGATCAAAGGTCATTTTGTTGCATGTATTTTAGGTTCATATCATGTTACTCTGGTATAAGACCAGAGGCTTTCGTTCATTCTTGGTCTCTCTGTCTTTCCATCTTTGCATCTTGCAGGAGACCCAGGTTATGAAGCTTAGCCTGTAATTTGCCTTTATTCTGTTTTTATACATTAAATCTTCTTTTTTATATCTAAGCAGAGTCTGATCATTTCTAAGTCACTATCACTGTTTGTGCGAGAGGGAAACACAGTTAGGAAACATGGATTATTTACCACGCTGGCTACCAAGGTTCTACATCTGTCAGGAAAACACACATTTCATTTATTCTAAAATTATAACCCAACACCTCAGATTATATGTTTGAGTGTGTAAATGTTTGAGATGTCCTGTATCTCGGGATTTTTTTTTTTTTTACTGAAAATGCATAACAAACCCAATCATATAATTACTAATCATAATTTACCTGAAGTTGTTTTGATTTCAGACTAAGCATAAACCAAAACCGATGAGGATTAAAAATGTTGACTCAAGAAATGTTGAAAAATATAAAAATATACACAGTATATATATTATTCCACTGCCGACTAAACAAATGTAAACTTTGTTATTGAATGAAGAAAAATGTTATTTGTGGACGACAATCGACAATAACGGTTGAAGACATTTCCATAAACCAATAACCAGCTGCTGCCTGTGGTCACATGACGGCTTTGGTCAATTCTCCAGATTCTTTATCAGTTTCTACATCAACACTTCTGTCTCTAATGAACGTCTGAGAGTCGTAACAAACATTTATGATGGAACACGGACGAACACGGAGTTGTTCGGTTTTAGATTTATTTACATTTATTTTATTCTTGCAACTTTGATTCTGTGACAGTGTGGTTCAGTCACAGTGAAAGAAAGGAGAGCTCTAAACAAGGTGAGAGAGACCAGAGAGAGACCAGAGAGACAGACCAGAGCGAGACCAGAGAGACCAGAGAGAGACCAGAGAGACCAGAATGAGACTTGAAAGAGACCAGAGAGAGACCAGAGAGAGACCAGAATGAGACCTGAAAGAGACCAGAGAGAGAGACCAGAATGAGACCTGAAAGAGACCAGAGAGAGACCAGAATGAGACCTGAAAAAGACCAGAGAGACCAGAGAGAGAGCAGAGAGAGAGACCAGAGAGAGACCAGCCAGAGAGACCAGAAAGAGACCTGAGAGAGAGAGACGAGAGAGAGACCAGAGAGAGACCAGAATGAGACCTGAAAGAGACCAGAGAGAGACCAGAATGAGACCTGAAAAAGACCAGAGAGAGACCAGAGAGAGACCAGAGAGAGAGCAGAGAGAGACCAGAGAGAAAGCAGAGAGACAGACCAGAGAGAGACCAGCGAGAGAGAGAGAGAAAGACCAGAGAGAGACCAGAGAGACCAGAGAGAGACCAGAATGAGACTTGAAAGAGACCAGAGAGAGACCAGAATGAGACCTGAAAGAGACCAGAGAGAGACCAGAATGAGACCTGAAAAAGACCAGAGAGACCAGAGAGAGAGCAGAGAGAGAGACCAGAGAGAGACCAGAGAGAGAGACCAGAAAGAGACCTGAGAGAGAGAGACGAGAGAGAGACCAGAGAGAGACCAGAGAGAGACCAGAGAGACCAGAATGAGACCTGAAAGAGACCAGAGAGAGACCAGAGAGAGACCAGAATGAGACCTGAAAGAGACCAGAGAGAGACCAGAATGAGACCTGAAAAAGACCAGAGAGAGACCAGAGAGAGACCAGAGAGAAAGCAGAGAGACAGACCAGAGAGAGACCAGCGAGCGAGAGAGAGAAAGACCAGAGAGAGAGAGACCAGAGTGAGACCAGAGAAAGACCAGAGAGAGACCAGAGAGAGACCAGAGAGAAAGCACAGAGAGAGAGAGAGACCAGAGAGAGACCAGAAAGAGACCTAATACTCAATAACTCTTCTAGCCTATGGAAAAGCCATGTTCCAGCTTCTTCCCTCTGGCAGAAAGATATCGTTGGCGGAGATGCAGGACATGTTGATACGCTAACATGCTAACAGCTCACCTTTCAGTCTGAACTAAGCACTTTAACAATCTTCACTTGCATTGTAACTGTTTTTGTTTATGGATTTCACATTGATGATTATCTCTGTAGTTTTTAGCTTTTTTTATTCGTAGATATTTGTCTGGTGCACACTGGGGTCTCTCGCACATGTATTCCAAGGTGGTTTTACTGCATATGAACTAAAATGAGTCTGAGATGTGAGATGAGATGGAGAAACCCCGTGTGCATGTAGCAGCGCTGTTACTGCTCAGTGCACGTACAGACGGTGGTGCAGCACAGGCAGACCAGTGTCCGGGCCCCGGGGGAGGGGCCCAGAGGAGGGGCCCAGAGGAGGGGCCCCCGACTGAATGTGGAGGCTCTTCTGAGGACCAGCTGCAGAGGACCAGCCACTACGGGTCTGAACCACGCACCAGTCGCACTAAAGTTTCCCTCGATCACAGAATCTGAAAAATAGTTAAACGTTGGAAGTCATTGGAACGTTTTGATACACATTTATGGAACGTGATTTTTGAGATGAAGAAAAAAAAGGAAGAAAAAAATGCTACTACCATTAGCTGCTACTATAGCTAGAGGTTTTATACTAGCTTCTTTATTATGCTAAAGCTAGAGATTTTATACTAGCTTCTTTATTATGCTAAAGCTAGAGATTTTATACTAGCTTCTTTATTATGCTAAAGATAGAGATTTTAACTTTCTTCTTTATTATGCTAAAGTTAGAGATTTTAACTTTCTTCTTTATTATGCTAAAGTTAGAGATTTTAACTTTCTTCTTTATTATGCTAAAGCTAGAGATTGTAACTTTATTATGCGTCCAGTGATTCTATTTTTTTTTGTTTTTGTTCTTGCTCCTAATTGAATGAAGAAGTGATCTCTGAGGCGCATTGATCAGGAAGGGGACTGGTGTGAGTCATTAGCATTAGCATTAGCTTTAGCATTAGCATGTCCTGTGCTCAGAGTCCGTGAATAACACCGGCAGCTGCACATGACGGTGGATATGAAACACTAATCAATAAGTGATCATTTCCCTGGAGCCTCACACACACCGACACACACTGATACGACACACACACACACCGATACAACACACACACACACACCGACACACACTGATACGACACACACACACACCGATACAACACACACACACACACCGACAAACACACACACACAGGAGCCTCGAACACATACACACACACACACCGATACGACACACACACACACCGACACACACACACACACCGACACACACAGGAGCCTCGCACACACACACACAGGAGCCTCGCACACACACACACACACACACACTCTGTCCTGTGTCGGATCAGCAGTCGGAGATGCGCCGATGGGAAGGAGAGAGACCAGACTCTGACAAATGAAGCCGGAGCAGAGCGAGGCCAGAGGCAAAAACCACCTGAAGGTTACATCTGCTCAAGTAACACTCATTTATAAATATAAACATTTATATCATTTATAAATATAAACATTTATATCATTTATAAATATACACATTTATATCATTTATAAATATAAACATTTATATCATTTATAAATATAAACATTTATATCATTTATAAATATAAACATTTATATCATTTATAAATATAAACATTTATATCATTTATAAATATACACATTTATATCATTTATAAATATAAACATTTATATCATTTATAAATATAAACATTTATATCATTTATAAATATACACATTTATATCATTTATAAATATAAACATTTATATCATTTATAAATACAAACATTTATATCATTTATAAATACAAACATTTATATCAAACCCAAAACAAAAAGGGGTTATACAGAAAGAATAAACTCTGAGATCCTTATATTGTCGTGAGAAATAATAACAATAATAAAAAATAATAATAATAAAGACACATTTTGTTTTTATTGCACCTCACGTTTCCAGAAAACCTACAGATTAAAAAACAAAACAAAAACATCAAAAGTACGTTAGATATATATAATATATATAATAATCACTGAATGATCTAAAACAGGAAACATCTCGATATTTAAATAATTTCAAACGAATCCAAAAGAAACACATTTTGCTAAAGATCATGTTTGTTCTGTTTCCAAATGAGAATTAGATGTTTTCATTTTAAAAACAAGACATTTTCACTTTTTTCCGTCGGTAAATCTCAATCGAAGATTATCATTTATTATTTTTTACATTAATAATGAAAAGGCGTAAACTGGTTTACACGGTTAACATTTTATAAACATTTAAAATGTTTATTAGGAAAAGTATTTAAGATAAAACAATATAAATATTATTTGACGTAGAAACAGATTGTTTCAGCGTCGACGCAGAAACACAGACGTCATAAATATATTTAGTTTTACTTCGTGAAAAAACAGATTCTTTCCAAAAATTGTTCCAGACGTAATTTTTCATTTATTTAATTTTTGTCTGTGTTTAATCCTATTTTAAATGAGTTTATTTTCATTTCATTTACAGCTTTATTTGTAAATCCCTTTCCCTCCACGAGGTTAAAAAAAGCAGTGAAATCAGGTTTTAAAATAATCACAGTTCATTAAAAAGAGAAAGATAAAATCTTTCAGTTGTTGCAGAAACAAAACTGTTTTTAACCTTAAACACTGTCAGAGAAGAATCTGTCTCACATTTTCAGGAAGACTTCCTCCTCATGTTTAGTCCTGACTCTGGGACCAGCAGGAGGCCAGTCCCTGTGCTCCTCAGAGTCCCAGCAGGAGGCCTGTCCCTGTGCTCCTCAGAGTCCCAGCAGGAGGCCAGTCCCTGTGCTCCTCAGAGTCCCAGCAGGAGGCCAGTCCCTGTGCTCCTCAGAGTCCCAGCAGGAGGCCAGTCCCTGTGCTCCTCAGAGTCCCAGCAGGAGGCCAGTCCTTGTTGTTCTTGAACTGTGCGTTGCAACGATGACATTTCTCTCCATGTGCCAAAGGTTTAGCCTCTGTTCAAACAGAGAGAGTAAATACAAACACCATCAGTTCCTCTAAAAGACTCTAAATCTTAAAGAGTCGTAAACAAGTCTCTCATTTATAAACTCTTACCTCGTCGTGCCTTCTCTCCCCGCGCTGTCATTGGCCGAACACACTTTGACGGACAGCACTGGTCCCGCCCCCTTCCCACAGCCTCCTTAAACATAATGTATGTATGTATGTGTGTATGCATATGAGTGTGTGTATGTGTGTGTGTGTGTGTGTGTATATGTGTGTGTGTGTGTGTGTGTGTGTGTGTGTGTATGTGTGTGTGTGTGTGTGTATGTATGTGTGTGTTTATGCGTGTATGTGTGTGTGGCAGTGAACCGGCAGACCAACCAACCCCAATGAATCCGCTGCTCTCTCTACCCTCTCTGTTATACCGCGCTTTTCCCCCCTACACACACACACATACACACACACTTACACACACACACACAGACACACACAGACACACACACACGCACCTCTCTGCCTGCTGCACCCGATCTCCATTCAAGCCCGGGACTCCGACGAGGCAGGAGGAGAGCGATAGTGGAGGAAGAGTGGGAAGCCGAGAGAGAGTGGAGAGGGGGATCCGCGGGGAGTGAGGGAACGCCGTCATGGCTTCAGACCCAGGGCTCGCCACCGCCGCCGCTGCCGCCGTTCTGCTCTGGACTATATCTCTACACTCTGTGGGCGCCGCGGCAACCAACGCCAACGAAGGTAAAGCACATTTGCATACAGCCTGACAGTCCGGATTAAGTTCTGGACCGACCGTTATCGAAGGCGACGGTGCGGCCAGTGCTGAAGTTTGAAAAAAAAGTGTCTCATCGGCTTTTTCTCTGATGTTTACGAGTTTATTTGGATTCTCGCACTTTGTAACTAAGACATAAGCGGAGGATATTGTCTGGTGTTTGTGTGTGATGTGGAACGCAGACGTAGAGTCCATAGATTTCTTTTTTTAAACTGGAGACTTAAAGATGCGGCATGAGATGGGTTTATTTGAAGAGATTGTGTGTGTGTCCTGCAGCGGGGAAATTTCAGTGTTGCGTCGCCAGTTACACAACAGAGGAATGAGGGGCAGACAGTACATGAGAAATGAATTATAACTTTGCACAAAAATCTAATAAAATCTGACTTTAGCGTAAAAAGAATTGAGTGTGAAACGAATATCTCTAGGAAAAGAAGGAAATAAATCTTTATCTTTATTGAGGAAGAAGCGAGACTTAAACACAAAATGTCAATGTTGGAAAAGTCGTAGATAAATAGTCCTGAGTGTGTGGTGTTTGTGCACAAGTCTCTGGTAATAAATATTAAATTATCAGAAGTTATTTGTCTTAATTCTTAATTTAACTAATCGCCAAAAATTGTCCTTTTTTTCCTAATTATAAAAATGTCTTGGAAAATCTTTGAAAATATGTGGCCTTGTGTTAAAAACTTTATATACGTGACACAATACACTCAAAAACAAGCAATAAAAAATACTTTGAAAAACATTTAGTAAAACACAGGCCGTAAATGAGATTACTTTCTAATAATCTTTAAGTCTTGATATAATTGTTTTTTGATTTTTTTAGCAGTATATTTGATCTTGTGGAAGCAGTTTATAATTTTGTTTAGGAACAGTCATATTTATCCAAACAAAAATAAAAAATTATAACAATAACTTTAGTAAATTTGTAGAAACGGACGAAAGCGATCGCCTTCGACATTTAAAAAAAAACATAAAAATCAAAACGCTGAGCAATAAAAAAGCCAAAATTAATTTAAGAATTGCAGATTTTTGTGCTGTATTTTTGGACTCATTATTTACTATTATTCCACAGTATTAAACGATTTATTTCTTAGATTAAATTCAACCTTACACTCATTACAAAGTCAAAACAATGCAACGAAAAGCAGCTTTAGCCTCTAACCAGGTCCATAACGTCCGTATAGGATCATGTTTGCACCACACATCCATAAATAAGCTGCTGCTGCAAGAATATTTACATTTATTCTGTTTTTATGGGTTTCTTTCCTAGTATAGAGTCTGTTTGTTTTGTTTAGCTTCTGAAATATACTGCAGCTGTTCTTCCAGAGGTGTATGGACACAAACACAGTGTTTTCGGACTTGTATAAAACTCCATGTGTCTTCAGCAGCAAAAAGCCACAAACCTGTTATTTTTCCCATTCTGCCGTTTTGTTTTTCCCGGTGTCGTTAGAGAAGCGTCCTTTGGCCTAAACACAGCGAGACACGATCACAGACACAATCAGGCATCGACCCAACGCTGCTGCAGAGACAAACCTCTCCGTCTCCAGTCAGTGTTTCATGAAGAAGACGTCGTTTCATGTTTAATTAACTGATTTAAACTGTGTAAAAAACACCCAGTCTCTCATTGACCAGCGCAGGTTTGTAGCAGTGGGTTTGAAGCTGAGAGAAAGAACATCTGTGTCTGCAAAATCATACGTTTACGTGAGATTATAGACGTTAGTGTCAGAATCAGCGCTGGTTTACGGTCTCCACGTCCTGTTTTATACGGAAACAATCACAAAACACACTCAAAAAGCTGCAGGATTTGTGTCTTTTCTCTTGTTCTCACCGGAAAAGTCTTCAAAGTTTGTCTGATGGAGAAGGTTTTTCATGTGGAGATATTTTGGATTCATTTTAGAAACTGCTGTGTTTTTGGTAGAACATTTTGAAACTAAATAGACAGATAATAAGAGATAGATGGATTTGTAGATGGATCTTTAAATAGATTTGTATTAATAATTGTAGATAGACATATTTGTATTTTTGTATATTTGGCTCAGTCCTGTTTGGTGGTATTGATTTTATGTTTAGGTCGTTCGACGTCCATTTTGTAAATATATTTGTAGTTATATTCGTAGATGGATTTGTCGATCATTTCAGATACTTATTGAACTAAAATGGCTCAGTCCTGTTTAAAGTATTGAATCCTTTGACTTCATACTTATTCCTTGGACATCCTTTTCCCTCGGACTGTTTTCTGAGTGTTTTCTGTCTGAGCGTCCGTCTCTGATTCAGATTCAGAAAGCGTCAAAAACCCGGCGTTTCCTTGATTTACGGCGTGACTCTGACCTTGTAATACCTGCGTTTAAACGGCGCTCTTTGCCCGATGAGCGCCGCAGCCCGAGCACGTCCCTCGGTATCGGACAGAATTATCACTTTTTACACAGAGAGGCAGTTGGAATGAATATTTATGGTCCTAAAGTCTGTGCAGGTTTTTAGGTTTTATATATTTGTATTTGTATCTAAATCACAGCAGTAGTTACCTCCAGAGTTAACTATGGTCTTAAAAGCTCTTTGATAAATGCGTTTTTTTTTTAAAAATCAATTCAAATCCATGTATTTTTATAACAATAGTTTTCTCTGAGGACTTTACAAAGCGGTCGATTCTTCAACAACAGATCAGAGAATCAAGTTTGGATGATTGTGTTTTTTATTAATTCAATTCTTTTAATAATTGTATCATCCTTATACAGACTTGTTTCTTTCATACTCACACTTTTACAGATAAAAACAGTTTTATGTACGGTCTTAAATGCCTTAAATGGAGTTTGGATGATTGTGATTGCGTTTAAAAAAAATCTATGTATTTTTGTATCGGCCTAAATCACAGCAGTAACCGTCGATTCGCCGACAACAGATCAGAAAATCAACAATAAGATTAAAATGTTTTACAGTAGCTTCGCATTTTTAAATAGCGTTTCTACGTGTGGCGCTTGTGGCTTTGTGTCGGTGGCAATTTAATTTTTTTAATTTATTTTCTTTTTAGCCTCAAATCCGTTGGTCTCAAAACATGATAAATTAAGGAATGTAATAAGTATTTTTTTGTTATTTTTAAACATTTCTGAATAGTGTTTTTTCTGGCGATCCGCGACATTTACGTGATTGGTCGGTGAACGTCGGCTGAAAAACTAGTCCCGCTTTTGAAAAACATACAAAAATATACTATTATTATTATTAATGCTATAATTATCTATATTTCACGTTTATTTTTCTTTACCCAAATGCAGCGTGGGTAACTTAAAAAGGAGCGGGAGAAGTGTTCAGTAATAAAACCAAAAAACCTTGGGAGAAGAAAGACACGAACATTTGAGGAGCGACCATTTTGGTTTTGGGTTTTCCCGCTCTTCATTGTGCGCAAAGAAACCAGAGAAGTCCACTTTAAAAACAGTGAAAATAAAATCTCAAATTACTCTTAAATCATGTTTAGCATCTCCCACACGTACAGACATTTAAATACCATACATGTGAATTATTATTTTTTAATTTTTTGGCTTAACATCTGTCCACGAGACTATACCGACTGAAAGTAGCTTAATTTAGCAAACTCTGGCACATTTACTACGTATAATGTGGATTAATATCAAATAAATAAATAGTAAATAGACTCAGCAGCTGTTGGTCAGACTTTGATATTTAAGGTTTGTCGAGACCGTATATTTCTTCACGTGTGGTAATATGTATAAGCTTTTCTACAGTAAGAATTAATATAAATTATGATTATTCCACGTGGTGCATTTTTAGGCTTTGACTGGTTTTTCTCAGTTATAAACGTAGGCGTCGTAAAAGATCACGGTTTATAGATCAATGGATCAAAGTAAAATCTATGATAATAATAAATACATAAATACTGTATTTACTCAGAAGTGGAACTCATGACCTCCTGAATTAAAAACCATGACTGGGTTTAACATGTTCACGTCTCGAGTTAAGTCTTTGAAACGGAATTATACACATTTGTAAATTTGTAGATGGTGTTTGTGTAAATGATGTAAAGAGTGAATATTGGTGAGTTTTTAAGATAATGTTGATAATGTTGATAAGGTTCATAATGTTCATAATGTTGATAATGTTGATAATGTTGATAAGGTTCATAATGTTGATAATGTTGATAATGTTGATAATGTTGATAAGGTTCATAATGTTGATAATGTTGATAAGGTTCATAATGTTGATAATGTTGATAAGGTTCATAATGTTGATAATGTTGATAAGGTTCATAATGTTGATAATGTTGATAATGTTGATAAGGTTCATAATGTTGATAATGTTGATAATGTTGATAAGGTTCATAATGTTGATAAGGTTCATAATGTTGATAATGTTGATAATGTTCATAATGTTGATAATGTTGATAATGTTGATAATGTTGATAATGTTGATAATGTTGATAATGTTGATAAGGTTCATAATGTTGATAATGTTGATAAGGTTCATAATGTTGATAATGTTGATAATGTTGATAATGTTGATAAGGTTCATAATGTTGATAATGTTGATAATGTTGATAAGGTTCATAATGTTGATAATGTTGATAATGTTGATGAGGAGAAAGAAGCAGGGACTGGATGTGAAAATTATCATTAGCTTTAAAATGTTTTTGCATCAGTTACAAGATTGTTTTGTTTTATGTCGACTTGTCAAATAAATTAATAAAATTCTCGTAATGCCCTGAATCACAGCAGTAGTTTCCTCAGACACGGATCAGAATCAAACACTTCAAAGACAAGACTCACAAATAACTCCCGGGTCCGTCCTCAATGAATAAAGGCACAATAAATAAATAAATAAATAAATGTACAAATATGGGTTTTTTGAGAATGAATGTTTAC